AGCCCGGACATTCGGCACGCAGAGCGCCGCCCGCCCGCCCGGCGCATGCGCAGGGCCCGTCCGGGCCCCCAGCGCCGCTTGCAACGAGCCTTAGGTTCCGGAGTCCCCGGCGTCCCGCGCACCTTGGTTCCGCCTTGCATTCCCGCCTTTCCCCAGCGCTGCAAGCAAGCAAGCCTTCTTACTTCTCTACAGATAGGCTTTGCTCACTACGTAGCCCAGGCTGGCCTCGAACCCAGGCAGTTCTACCTTCAAGCCTCCTTCGTGGGAGGCTGAGATCACACGCACGTACCGTCATGCCCAGTTCTTTTTAAATAATAAATATCTCTTCTAGGGCTTATCTTTGACCTTCCGCTATGCCTATTTCTTATTTTTAAACATTTGAAAATATGGGGGTGGAGGTGAGGAGGCATGCACATGCCCTGGTGCACATGTAGAATTCAGAGGACAATTTGTGGGTATCCATTCTCTCTTTCCTCCATGTGGGATACAGGGATCAAACTCGGGTTGTCAGGCTTGGCAGCCCTTGCCCTCCGAGTAGTTTTGTGGGCCCCTGCCATGCCTATTTTACTTATTTGATGTAGGAAATAGAATTTCTAAGGCAGTGATAGTGGCTGGATTTAGAAAATTCATCTAATTTTACTTAAAGTGCAAGGTTCAGGGGTCTTATTTAGAACCTCACTAGCTTTATCTTCTGACTTCACAAAGCATGTAAGGGGGCTCACTTTTACATGTTACTCGACTCCTCACAGAATTGCTGAAGAAAATTAATTTGGTCTGTGGCTGATTTTCAGCCGGTTGGTTTGTTTTGTTTTGTTTTTCCCCCGAGTGTTTCTGAGTGTGGGTATGTGCACATGAGCTCTGGAGCTACAAGCTGTATCATGTGGCCTAGACTGCCCTTGAACTGATGCTGCCAAAATGGACATAAATTCCTGATCCTGACTTCACCTCTCATTCGCTGAGATTCTGGGTCTGGGTCACTATGGCTGGCTTGAAGTTACGTGATTCTGAAGATTCATTTCGAAAACACAACATGAAACATTTTTATTTGACATACATAGCATGTTGGCCACTTACACGTGCCAGGTGCTAGCATGAACCACCTCATTTCACAGCAAACCTATTATTCCCATTTCAAAGGTAAGAAAATGTGACCTGCCCAGTGATAGTGATGGTGGGAGCTGGGATCTCAGCAGGTGGACCTACAGTCTATACAGAAGACTTATTCTGTATTCACCAGTTACAGAAACATGTAAATAATGGCTTAATCCTTCTCTCAGGTATATACCCAAAGGACTCTACATCCGACTAAAGAGACACTTGCTCACCTATGTTCATTGCTGCTTTACTCATAATAGCCCCAAAATGGAAACAGCCTAGATGTCCATCAGCAGATGAATGGAAAATGAAAGTGTACATTTACACAATGGAATATTATTCAGCTGTTTAAAATATGAAATTTGAAGGTAAATGGACAGAGATAGAAAAGACTCATGCTGAGTGGGATAACCCAGACCCAAAAAGACAAACATCGTATATTGTCTTAGTTTACTATTGCTGTCAAGAGACACTGTTGGAGAATACTATTTTTTTTTTTAAGATTTATTTATTTATTTTGTATACAGCATATATGACTGCAGGCCAGAAGAGGGCACCAGATCTCATTATGGATGGTTGTGAGCCACCATGTGGTTGCTGGGAATTGAACTCAGGACCTCTGGAAGAGCAGTCAGTGCTCTTAACCTCTGAGCCATCTCTCCAGCCCCGGAGAATACTATTTTAAGGTGTGTTACTTTTGTTTATGTTGCATTTGTTTAACTCTGTGAAGCTGTGTTGCTGTGCCTGTCTAAAACATTTGGTGGTGGCGAGGCAGGAGAAGGAATAGGAGAAATCTGGGAGAAAGGGAGAAGAAATGAGAGAACAAGGAGAGGAGGGCATCAAGGCCCAGCCACCCAGCTACACAGCAAGCCACGGAGTGAGAGAGAATGAAATGTATGCAGGAATAGAGAAAGATAAAAGTCCAGTGGCAAAAGATAAGCAGGATAATTTAAAATTAAGAAAAGCTGGCTAAAAACAAGCCAAGCTAAGGCTGGCATTTATAAATAAGAATAAGCTTCCATGTGTGATTTATGTGGGATCTGGGTGGCGGGCCCCCCAAAAGAGCCAAAAACAACCAACGAGACACCATGACCACTGCAACTCTTATAAAGAAAACATTTCTTTTTTTTTGTTTTTGTTTTTTGTTTGTTTTGTTTTCTGAGACAGGGTTTCTCTGTGTAGCTTTGGCGCCTTTCCTGGGACTC